AGCGGTACCGAGCAATAAAAGAAAGGATACACAGCACCTCAGTAAGAGCTACCACCAGGGCGCTTTCTCGCCGTTATATACAACCCTAAAAAGTGAAAAGGGGGACGCCCGACAAAAATCTTAAAACAAAACTAACCCAAATCATCAAAAGAAACATATTTATATTAGTAGATAGCTAGAAGGGGGAAGCCCCTCCCTCAGGCGGCAACCATAGCCACCCTTGGACCGTCCGGCTCTTTTGGTGGCATGCTAAACCGGTCGGTTCAAGGACCCACTCTCATGAGAATAGATGGCAAAACAATTAAAATGGTTAATTCTAGAGAATTGAGATGATTCTGTCATCGAACAAGAATAAATTGTGTTAGATGAATTGGCTTGATATTCTAACTGACAAATTGCATACAAACGGTCAGTCAAGGCTTAATATTATGTAGAATGAAAGAGACAAAGCCCCTATATATGCAGTTTTTAAAAAATTTCAGGACATTTAATGTGACAAGCATGGCACAGAGCATCAGCGGTAAAAGTAATTCAATGAATGGCATGATAAATTTGTGCTCGGACTAAACCTTCAAAAGAAAAATCAGGAGCTTGTGGAACAACACGATGACCCAAAAAAATGGTGATGGAGAAGGAGTTCAAAAGAGAAACGTAAATAGATTGCCATGACCAACATGAAAATACCAGCACAAATATGTGATGGCTATAGTTAAGTTTCAAGTGTACAGAGATCATCATGATAACATGAAAACAGCAGCAAAAAATTGTCAAAATTCACATGAGACAAATCCATAGCTACTCAATCTAGAATAAACATAAAAAAAAAATGTGTATACAAATATTTAGGACAACAAAGTCAAAATGATCATTAAACTATTTATAGGGGTCATTTTAGTCTCAGACTAATTAATATGTCCAATTTAATCCCTGGACTCCACAAATCTGATCCAAAATAGTTTATTGGCTCCTCAAATCTGATTAAACAATCCAACACCTATTTTGTATCATATTTGAAGAATCAAATGACTAAAATAAACACATCTATAATCTAAAGTAGACCCATACTTGGACCATTTCGACCCTTTTTTACTTGAAAGATAACAAAGCCATCAATTAATATATTTTAGAACCTAATTTACGTCCTTATAGCATAATCTGGTACAATAAGACAATGAGGGCTCGATGAGAAAGATATTCTTCAGTAATGCATTAGCCATACCTGAGCGTGAACTGATTTATAATGATCTGCCTTATGCCTTCCATTTTCCCTGTGTCCATTATCATCCATCACCGCACCCAATAATAGCAAAATGCTGTTGAAGCTGCTCAATCAGCATAAAATAAGCTCTTAAACAAAATGCTTTCCAGAGAGAAAATATTAAAAATTAAAGGAAAAAAAGAGAATGAAAAGCAAACCACAGTATTTCCCTAGATAGAAAAGAAATGAACAGCAAGAAGCTTTGATTCATAATTCCAGATAAAAGAGCACTTCACACTCATGCATACACATGCATGCTAGTAAGAGTTTACATGTGCAAAGTGGATGCAGATTCAATGAAATGGTTTACAACCTACTGCAAATGCTTATATTTCATGAAAAACAAAGTTCAAGGAAAGTAACTTTAGATTCAATGGAATGTTTTTGCCAAATTTTTTTATAGCAAGAATAGCAAATGCTTGGAATTAAAAAATAGAAAGCATAAACTAATTTATCATGACACAAAAAAATATCTAGCATTAGGGTACAAATAGCAAGGAAACCTAGTGAGAATCATATATCCGAAAACATAATAGTAAACAAAATAGCAAAATGACAAATATTTATGACAAATATTTATAAGTTCCAAAAAAAAAAAACTGGAACTTCAAAAAGATAAAGTTAACTGTGAAAATCTAAATGTCTCATTAAAAAAGGGTACTAAAAGGCTTCAATTAGCTGTTTTTTTTTCTTGTGACCTTTTCAAAAAGTTGTTTTGGTTACATGAGAAACTTGTCTAAATTTTACTATTTCTTATTCAGCCCATTCTCTATGACTTCATGACGGTATGATCAAATTTGTCAGCTATGCCAAAAGAAGCCCAAGTTGTTTTGGTACCTTTTTTTTAAGCATCTCATTTCAAATTTGCTCCACAAATGATGAATTATTAGTGGATTATTTAAAAAAGAGGAGTCGAATAGCAAAGGACAACATTCATAATAAGATACTTAAAATTTCTAGAACAATGGTTGAGTAGGTAGAATATGCAATTTGAATATATGTTGGAATGATGTTGTTCAACAAAACAAAAAATATTGGGAATTAAGTGATACTTGAGTACTAATCACACATAGCTTAGTGTATAATGTATAGAAAAAAACTACCGTTGAAGATATAGCTTATAGAGTTAAAGTTTGGTGATTAAATTATTAAAAAGTAAAGAAGTGCCGAGGGAATTAACATGTGATGATACAATAAAACACAGAAATGTGAAGGAAGATCTAACAAAGCAAATCAATCTCTATCATGTTGTTGATAATAGTGTGACATGCGGTTTAATAGGTTGAACCACTCAGTCCAGCTGTAGGGGAGCCAATTCGGCTATACGGGATGGACCGGCCAGCCAGCTCTTGGCGGGAATTACCAGCCCTTTTCCCATTTTTTTCCCTCCCATCTATTATAAATATGTTGTTTGCTGAGTTAGGGTTTAGCTCGTTTTGTTTTCAAATTTCTGCCTCCAAGCGTCTCCCCTTGCTAGAGGCACTGGTTGTATCCTGCTTCGAGGTGGTGATTATCCCAACGATTACTCACCGTATTCCTTCTCCCTAACTCGTTGACCTTCAATCAGCAACCTTCCAACAATCTTCCAGCCACCCGAGCCTTGCCACAATCCCTCTTGTTCCCTTCATGGGCTTGTCGTAATCTCTCTTGGCCTTCCACCCTTGTCACAAACTCTCTGACCACCTTCCAGATATTACCGTGATCTCTCCCAGACCTTCCACCCTTGTCAAAATCCTCTCCCCATATCCCAACCGCTACAGCTATCCGTCCCAGTCTCTCCGACAAACAGTCGCAGTACCTCCACCATATCCAGTTGTTGTTGATAACCCTCTAACTCCCTCCACCCCTGTCGCATCTCGTAACTGATCATTCCCTGCTATCCAGCCGGCATTCACCCCTATCGCTCTCACCCTAAAGGGTTAAGTGTGTGTTTAGTGTTGCTTTGTTCGTGTTTTAAGGGCGCCTATTGTGATTCCTTTCAATTCCTAACAATAATATTCATGTTCTTTTGTTTTGGATTAATCCCGGAATCATTTGCCCCAAAAAAATTCCTATCCTCCACAACCCCTTCCAAACCCACCTAACTCGGAATAAGATACGGTCAAAGATCTGTTGACTTCAACAGAAGCTCACGAAAATTGATGATGAAACCCAGGTGAAGATTACCCTCAACCGCAATCTGGAGAGCCGAATGGAAGATAGTGAAGAGGATATGAATCTATTCCACTGAGAAAATGTCAGTGATGAGGAATACAGGCCTCGTTGTTTCGGGCTTTAGTATTAAAGGAGGTCAAGAGAGGAGCTCGCATATGGAGAACACGTGGATTTTGGCATCAAGATGAATCTACAAGAGTTTGATGGAGGTATGAATCCAAATGACTTTATCAACTGGTTGCAATCGGTAGAGCGAATCTTTGAATATAAGGAACTGATGATAAGCGGGTAAAATTAGTAACCATAAAGTTGAAAAAGAATATCTCCTTATGGAAAAATTTGTAGAGGCGGAGGAAAAGAGAAGAAAATGACAAGATTACCAAGTAGGAAAAGATGAGAGAGAGATACAGAGGAAATGTCTTCCACCTCATTGCCACAATGACAATTTTTTGAGACTCTACCTGCAGGAGAAAAACCTATCAGTGGAGGAGTTTGCGGCACATTTCGACCAATTGTAGATGAAGTGAGAGTTGGTCGAGCCAGAGGAACACACCATAGCTCAGCACCTACAGGGTCTGAACCCCACCATTAGCAATGTTGTGCAGTTACAGCCACATTAGTCACTAGGAGTGTCAAAACCTACCCTTAAATGAGGAAAGACAATTGAAACAGAGGAGGCAGAGATTCTCATTCAGACATCAGTCCTCGTTCAAGCAATCACCTATAGCTACAGCGACCGACAATGGTACCTTTGAAGGAGTTGGCAAAGTGATAAGACAGATTCAAGTGGAAAAAAAACGAAAAAAGGTAGTTCACCAAATACGGTGCCTGTCAGGAGGTGTTTCAAATGTTAGGACTACAAAAACATAACCTCCAGCAGTCCCACAAGCTGAGTTGTTTCATTCACAGCTCAGAGCACCATTGAGGTGGTGGAGGACGAGGAATCAGAAGATAGTCCAAAGAAAGAACTTCACCTCCGTGATGACGAGGGAGAGATGTTAGTCATATGCAGAGTTCTAGAATCAGAGTCATAGAGAGATAACTCATAGCTGAGGCACAATATCTTTCGCACCAAGCGTGCAGCGAAGTTTAAAATTTGTTGTTTGATTATCAATGGTGGGAGTTGTAAAAATGTGGTGTCCACGCTGATGGTGAAGAAATTGAGATTCGCTACACATAAACATCATCAATCATATTCTCTTACCTTGTTAAAGATTAAAAACAAGATAACGTACATCAGTAGTGCTTGGTTGAATTTTTAATTACAGATATGTTGCAGAAGCAAGTGTGATGTGACGTAGTTCCGATGGACATGTGTCATTCTTTGGGGAGGCCTTGACAGTTCGACGTTAAGACTCAACACAACGACTTTAAGAATAATTACTCTTTTAAAAATGATGGGAAAGGCATCGTATTGTTATCTGTTATAGATGCAAATGATGTAGAAGACACACAAGAGGTGTTAGTTTCGAGAGCCACCTTCATGCAGCCAGTTCGAGATGCTCCAGTGGCACCGGCATTAGTCTTAATAAAGGGAACTGGAGAGGAGAGTGAGATACCAACACCACTACAGCCACTACTACATGACTTCCAAGATGTGATGACCAACGGTCTTCCCGATAGATTACCGCCGCTAAAAGACATTCAACACGCCATAGATCTCACACCCAGATCAGTATTGTCAAACCGGTCTTACCAATAGATTACTGCCACTAAAAGACATTCAGCACATCATAGATCTCATACCCAGACCAGATTGAGACCTGCGAAGTACGAGGAGTTGCAGCGACAGGTACATGATCTCGTCGTGAGAGGGTTGGTCAGAGATAGTACCAGTCCGTGTGCGGTCTCCACACTGATGGTACCCAAGAAGAATGATTTGTGGTGGATGTGCATTGACAGCAGAACCATCAACAGGATTACCATCAAGTACTAGTCCCACATACCTTACCTGGATTATCTCTTCAATCAGTTGCATGGAGTCACTCTTTTCCCATGTCGATTTATGCGGTGTGTATCACCAGATCCGGATGATGCCATGGGAGGAGTGGAAGATCACTTTTAAGACACGAGATGGCTTATACGAGTAGACAATTATGCCCTTCAGATTGTCAAAAGCACCAAACATTATTATGAGGTTAATGGAACGAGTGTTCCGGGCCCACAATGGAAAATTTGTGGTGGTATACTTTCACGACATTTTGATATACAGCCAATCTGAGGAGAAGCCCTTACAACACCTAAGGGGCGATATTCCAGGTGTTGCGAGAGCAAAATTATATGCCATCCAGAGAAGTGTCACTTTCTAATAGCCTCGGTATGTTTTTTTGGTTATATCGTGTCTAGTGCAGACATTCAAATAGATCCTACAAAGATCAAGGTCATTGTGAGTTGTACCGCACAACAGTCTTACACCGAACTCAGACAGTTTTTGAAACTAGTGTCATTTTACAAGCGATTCATCAGGAGCTTCGATACCATCACCGCTCCCCTGACAGGGCTTTTAAAAGGAGAGAAATTCCAGTGAGCAAATGCAGCTCAGAATAGTTTTGACGCACTAAAGGAAAAGGTGACTCGAGCTCCAATCTTCACATTACCATATTTCAATCAGTTGTTCGAGGTAGAGTGTGATGCATCCAGAGTAAGATAGAAACAGTACTAAGCCAGGAAAGTCACCCCCATTGCCTTTTTCAGTGAGAGGTTGAATGAGTCCAAGAGGAAATATTTTGCATGCAACAAAGAGTTTTATGCTATTGTGAAAGCTCTTGAGCACATGAGTCATTAACTACTGACGAGCAAGTTCATGTTGTTCACGGAACTCGATGCCTTGAAATTCTTAAACAATCAGAGCAAACTGAAGAGTCGACGTGCAACTTGGGTGGGGTTCTTAGCATCATTTCAGTTCATGCT